CGCGGATGGACTCCTGGCCTTGCGACCATATGCGCGACACAGTAAGCGCATGGCAGTGGAACTGGGCAGCAACACGGACGATGATGCCGCGAGGGAGCGTGCCGTTGCTGGAGGCACCAAGCAGAGTCTCGTACACTGCATGACGCTCGGCAGGGCGTAGGTGCCGCTTGCCATCGCGGGGCTCGTTAGACGGTCGAAGTGGGTCGGAAGCGCCGTGGGAGAGTTGTGGCTGCATAGTGGAGTTAGTTCGACGAGAGAAGCGGTGTTGGCTGGAGAAACGATCGTGTTATGAGCTTATTCTGATGACTTTTCGTCAGCGCATGCGACACACAAATTTTGGCGCCCAATATCTCATCAACCAAAACGCTCTAGAAAGCCCAGAAACTATCCAATCATAGCATAGATCTTGCGATTTCTAATGCACCAATCACATCGCAATTTGGGGCTAATTTAGAAAAATGCCGCCAATAGAAAGTCGAACCTAACAACTATTTTGGACCAGAGTAGTACTAGTAGTACTGAGTACTTTTTTGGCCTTGTTCGATGTGCGTGGTACTTTGAGGTGGAATACAGTAATCGATTGCTTGAGATTACTCCATACACTTGGGGTTGGTACAAGAACTAAACCCATGGCAAGATGGACGGGAAGTATTCGTTATTGGTCGATTTAGGCCTGGGGTTTGCCAGCGTCTTGGGAGCTGCTGGGGCGGCCGGATACCTTGGGTATCGCCGGACGCCAAGTAGTTGGCGCATTGGCTTCGGCTCCGAACGGTGCGGTAGCCCTACTGCAGTTTGCAGAACAGTTTGGAGTCGATGGAAATTGTATTTTGGTGGTCCAAGTCGAGCGCGGTGACCCTCTGGGGCTTGGACAGTTGGTTTACAACATCACATACCCGACCAGCCCGTTGTGCTCGGTGACAGAAAGAACCGACGCCACATCCAGCATCAAGTCGGGCATGAGGAGGTAGGTACATCACGGGCGTCATGTCGCTGGTGTCGGTTGCCCCAGACCTGTACATGGTTCCGCCAAGGTTCAGAAACGAGTTTGTACGTCCGTGAGTCCAGAAATATGCGGCTTTGACGGCCCCCCTGGACATGGACGCTTCGACCACAAACAGTACTGTGCTGTAGACAGATAGTCGTCGGGGCTGTCTGTCAGTTGCGCCGTATGTGACACGAAAGAAGCAACGTCAAGTGCGCCATCATCTCGGCGATCATGACAAGAAATGGAGCCCCGTCGCATCGTAGCTGTAAGAATGGCGTACAGTGGCGATCAGACTGGCACGGAGCAGCAACTTACGGCGTTCGAGGGAGGCTGTGATGGCTTATATTAGCACTGGTTAGTTCTTGACAAGGCCAGACAGGTGATCACTTCGTCGTTGCTGAGCCACGCCATGGACACATGAGGATCTGGAACGTGATCAGGAACATGTAGATGTCGTGCGAGCTGTCTCACCCGATGCTCGTAATGTACCCTATCACCTTTGCCACGTTGTAGCCACCGCTACAGTATCGTTGTTCGTAGATTTATGTACACACGTTGACAAAGTGCACAACTACCTAGCCACACTTGCATGAGAAACAGTCGATTCCAACTATTTTTGAGCGTCGTGGCGTACAAATGTAATTCGGCTGGTCCCACGTCGTGCCGACTAAAGTGCCGTTGGTGGCCACGTGTCCTCCGCCGCCGTGCGCTTGGCATCCGAGAACGTGCTCAACGCGCCAAAGCCGGGGAATGTGGTGATGGTTTGGCCTTGGTGCGACGTGGGCTGGCAGACTGGGAAGTCGTGTACAAAGAGGCCCAGTGTCCCCGTCACATGGATGCTGTTGGCCCCAACACATACAACGAAGAGCGACGCAGCGTTGGCACTCGTGAGCCGAGTGGCACCAAGTTATTTCAAACTCATTGACATCAAGGCGACATGCATGTGAAGAACGTCGTCCACTCCAACAAGGGCTGGCTTCTTAACGTGGATGTGTACGTACTGCAACACGACACTGTACATTGTACGCCCGTGGCCAAGATCAGCACGCCCCTGCGAAAGACGTTGCTGATCACCCGCAGCCACTTGCTCAGGAACGCAGAGGTACTGTGGTCAAGGTCGGTGCAAAGTGGCTACTATAAAACTAGTATACCTTCCTCTCGTGTAAACGCAATAGCAGTCGACTAATTTGGACTGTTGCGCAGCCTTGGAAATACTAGTATGTAATAGGACCCTGACATGTCATTCAAACAACCGTACAAACCCGTGTTGCCAAGCCAGATGGAGTGGTGAAGTTAAACCTTGGACATGAAATCAATTGTGTACATAGAAGTTCTAGTCGACGCAAACTTTCGGGGGTTCTAATGCTAACGCTATGCAACGTTCTTAGCCCAAGTAATGAACCGTCGCACGCTATGGTTGTCCGTTTACAAGCCATCCAGGGATGGTGTCGATGGCAGATGACAAGTGATGACTGGAGTGTGCTTATGATCAACGTACATAGTATATCGTGATGTACTTACTACTATTAGTTGGTCTTATACCTATGTGCTCGAATGAAATTCCGAAAAAACCCTACCTTTGACAGGCAAGTGATTATATTCTGAAGGCTGTGACCACGGACTGGGTGGGTGTAGTCGATGTGAGCGTTCATGTGGACTAGTGCAAACCACAAGTACGTACAGGTACACCACACATCCAAGTCCAACTTGGACGGAAGCTGCCATGGGCGATACGAAGTCCATGCCACTGGTACATATCTGTCCGTGCCGCTCACTGTGTGTCCAACACAAGTCAGGTGCATGCCAGTGTCGGCGGCTGTGGTTGCTCTCTGTTCGTTATCGCCAAGTACTTACAGCTACAGCTAGCTACACCCTGCCACTTGACAGGTTGGCTTGGGGTACGCACCAAGCGACGACCATCACTACCAGCCATCGCGTCGAGCGTCCTCTATAGCGACATGTTCATGTGTTGCCCGCCGTTGCAATACTCTTGCGACACCTGGTACGGGTATGGCAACCGATCGCGCCGAGGCTAAGCCAATCAGCGATCAAGATCATGGCTGTGAGTCATTTGATTGGTGGAAACTGTAAAAAGGTCACTTGACGCACTTGTTCCGTGCATTGGTGTTGAAGCATTTTAGAATTTCCATCCAAGGGATCATGTCGAGCGGATACGAATGGGCCACGTCCACGGAAGCGTTCCTTGCCGCAACCAGCGGCCGACGAGGAGTGTCCAGTGCGTACCAATTGCGTGCGTTGCCGTGTCCGTCCGAGATTCCGTCGCTGTCGTTCGACATGGAGATCTACGTCGACCGCGCCCCCATGAACGAGCTCAAGTTTGTCGTGGCCAAGCGGAAGAACATGTTCGACTTGATGGAACATGGTACGTGCGCGGGGCTGAAGCGCGCACGGGTGCAATGGTGAGCCATATCCCCAAATGCCGTAATCACCCATCGTCAAAGGCCGGTCCAGTTTGGAGATGCAGCGTTCGATACCTTTCATATTTATAAGCAAAATCACAACATCCATTCCGCGTATCTGACGCCATTTTGTACAGTCGTATATGCAACACATAATGGGGTCCACCTACGGATGAACCACTTGCTTACGGAGTGATATATGGCCGGCAGCGTAGTCGCCGTCGTACTGCTCCAGCTCCTTCCCACCGTGTCTCGTACACCCTGTACATGTACCTGTGCAAAGGTCGCGCGTATGCATGACACCTTTGGCCGACTTGCTTCATCGACGTTCTCGTTCATGATTCCGGCGGCCGAGGAAGGAGAGGACTCGTCCACGAGGCTCCCCATCCTCCTGGCATTCCCTCCAGGACCATGGCTGCGTTGGCGGTGGCATGTAGCAAGTAAGCGGCGGCACCGCGCACGTCGACTCGACATGGCAGCTGCATTCATCTGGAAGATGCAGTTCTGCGCAGTCCCAACACACGTAAGACGCGTTTAAACGCGTTATAGGAAGTTTAACGTGATTTCGCTCCGAAGAGTATAGCCGTTTGAAGCCGTGTCCACCGCAGCCATTCTTCGATTCCTCGCTGCGTAAGATCATGGTCAAGTTTGGAAAGCGCCTCGCCATGAGTGTGAACCCCCTCTGGGAAGGGTACATCACGCCGCGCCTCTGTATATGCATGTCCTGATGCATCATTTCCGTGCTGTAGGCAGTACTTGGAGTACCGCCAACTGAAGAAGGAGCTCAAGAAACTCAGCACCCCGACTGGCAGCGACGCGGAAGGGTCATCGTCGCCATCGTCTGCGCTCGCGCAGCCCAAGGACGGTCACGCGAGATTCCAGAAGAAGCTCGACTCGGAAATCGAAAAGATCGTACTGTTCTTCCTAACCAAGCAGGGCGAATTTGCGTCGCGGCTGTCTGCGTTCCGCGCGCAACAGCTGGTCGCCACCACGTCGTCGCCATCGACCGAGTCGGAGATCGAGACGATCAATGCGCTGGCTAACGGATACCGCGACATTGGCGAGGAGCTGGTGAAGCTGCTCTACTACGTCGAGCTGAACGCGACGGGTCTGCGGAAGATCCTGAAGAAGCATGACAAGAACCACAAGGGCAAGAAGATCACGGCGAACTACATCAACTCCCGCGTCGAGTCCAACGTGAGTCATCTGCAGCAGCTGTACCACGATGAAGGCATTTCCGCCATCATCGCTTCGATCCGCGCCGCGTTGGACGAGCTGCGCACGTTGCAGGTATCGATCGATCGAACTCTGTTGTCCTTGTGTCTCCATGTTAACCAACGAATATCGTGTTGCAGATGCAAGTGTCGGGAACCAACCACGAAGCCGCCGCCGCGACCCTCACGCGCAGCATCAGCGAGGACGAGCCGATTCTGAACCGCATCTCCGTCGCCCGCCAACGCCTGCATCAGTCCACGCGGTACGCCAAGACGATCGCGGCGCAGGCGCTCATCTTCGACTCGGACCTGTCGGACGACGAGGAAGAGATGCTACTCAAGACCATCAAGATGCAGAAACCCAGCCCCATTTCCCGCTTCCTCAACATGTTCTCCACGTTCCTGTACATGACCAACTACTACATCGTCGCGCCGACGTCGGGCGAGTACGCGACGCTTCTCGGGTATGTACGCTAGATATGATATGGTGCGAATCACACTAATTACGTCTTCCAGTATATCTTGGATACTGTAATCTGATTGGCTAAAAATATGTATTTTGCCGAATTCTGCGGTACAGTCCTACTGTTTCGAAAAAAACCAAGATTATTTTGTCCTAAAGTTTGTATGGTCAGAAAAGCACACATGTCTTCAATGTGGATGCTGCAATCTGATTGGCTAAAATTCAAACACTTGTTCTTTCCATATTCTTTCAGTATGATGCTGGTCTTGCCTACCTTCTTCAACCATCCGTCCTACATACTAGCGGGACAGCGGCGCTGTCGGGCGTGATTGTGGGCATGACTCCCGTGGCATCGATGCTGTCGGCGGTGCTGTACTCGTGGTGGGCCAACCGGTCGTTCCGGAACCCGCTGCTCTTCTCCACCGTGTGCCTCGTGCTCGGCAACCTCCTCTACGCCCTCGCGTTATCTTACAACTCGATCTCGATGGTGCTGGTGGGCCGCCTCCTCAACGGCTTTGGCGGCGCGCGCTCCATCAACCGACGGTACATTGCAGACAACTACTCGCGGGAGGAGCGCACGGGCGCGTCCGCCTTGTTCGTCACGTACTCGGCCCTGGGCATGTCGGCGGGTCCGGCTATGGCGGCCGTGTTAAACTACATCCCCGACGACCTCCGTGTGTTTGGCTACCTCGTCACAATCGAAACGTCCCCTGGGTGGCTCATGTTTGGTACGTACATAGATACTGTTGACGGGGGTGTGCTTTAACAGCAAGGCTGGATATGTAGTTGTGTGGTCGGTCTACTGCGTCGCGATCGTCGCCTTCTTCCAAGAACCCAACCGCGATGCCCGGGTATGTGGTGTACTTAACAGTACTCACACTATTCAAGTGTGGATATTGGGCTTTTCACCCAACTTTTTCGACTTTTTTTGCTCATTTTTTGCCAAATCGTTTTCGAGATATCCCTTTGATCATCACATTTACAACAAATGTATAATATATGCCCAATCAGTCGTTTGGATTGGCCGAAATTCGACCCCGAACGTGATTTGATTGGCTTTGACGGTTCTTTATTATTCCATTCTACTGTCGACATTTAACACTATATACGTATTGTGCTTTCGAGTGAAATTTCATTGGAATTTAAATCTATTTTTGATTGGCTACTTGAGATGAGCTCAAAATTATCAACCAATCAAAACCTTCTAAATGAAATTCAACCAATCAGATCGATCGTCGCGATTCCCTCCCCAAATTTGTATATCAAATCGACCATGTGTGTTGTATGTGTAGGAGCAAGTCCACATGGCTAGGACCAAGTCTGTGGTATTAGAAACCGGTAATATATATATATATATATATACCTTCTATATATATATATTCCTGATAAAATTATATATATATATATAGGCACATCCGCGACGGAATCGACTCCATTGACAACTCCGAGCCCGCCCAAGTTGAGTTCACTATGGACGAATGTACCAGTGGTGGCTACGCTAGTGATTTACGTGGTGCTCAAGCTGGTGCTGGAGATTCTCATCACTTCAGCCACGGGTATCGTAGACTGGTACTTCCACTGGTCATCCACTTCGGCTGGCATCTTCCTCGCCTTCCTCGGCCTTCTCATGTTCCCCGCCAATGTCCTCGTGGGGTACTTGAGCTACCGGTACGTCGACGGGGAGCTCATTTTGTACTCGGAGGTGGTGCTTGTGGTGGGAATCGTGGGTATTATCTGCTACTCGGCGTCGTACTCGGCTATCCAGTATGTGTTTGGCGCAGTGCTCATCTACGTGTCGACGAATGTACTGGAAGGCGTGAATATGAGCTTACTGAGCAAAACCATCCCCAAAGCGTTTGCCAGGGGGACTTTTAACTCTGGATTGCTGGCCACTGAAGCTGGTACACTGGGCCGAACCCTCGGCAACGGCGCCGTGACGCTGGCGGGGATCCACGGCGTTGAGTTCCTGCTAAATGACACGTTTATTCCCATGGCGGCGATCACGCTCGCCACCATCGCCTACACCATCCGAGTGTACCCGCACTTGATCCACAGCAGCTACGAAGGCTAATTAAGGGGTTTAATGGATACACCCAGCTTGAAACCGATTTTGTGGTTGAAATTGGCACTGTGGTATCGAAGACGCAAGACGGAAGTGAGTCGCAGCTTTTGAAATTGAATGCAACTACTCACCAGTGAAATATTATACTATTATGTATTTGTAGGATTAATTTATTTGTAGGATTCATAAATAGTGGTTCTACTGTCCGAGCACTTGAAGAACTATACTTTCACGACCCATTATACTAAAATCCGAATCCATTCGTCACACAGCGGAGATTGACTGATTTCGAAGACAACGAAGGTAAACGCCGATGGTAACGTGAACGGTTTAAACACCAGCTACACTATTATGTTACAGCTGTACACTCTAATACTAGAAAATACCCCACTGCCATCGGGACTGTCGTAACCGTACGTCCTCGGGAGGTAGTAGAAGGGATAAACGCATATAGTTTGCGCCTTTCTCGAGACTTCGTGGCTAAATTAGTACGTTTGTCCTTGGTCCGCTCCCCAATTGCAAGTAGACGATTTACATACTGTACGTTTGGGCGAAAAGGCTCCCGAATTTTCGTAACTTCATTAATATTACTCCAATTTTGATGAAATTTTGGGAAGTACTTCATATTAGTATGAAACAGATTAGCTCCAAATTTCAAATGTATCTGACCAATGGGAGAGATTCGTGCTTGATTCGCTCGGCGAGATTCGATTGAACGGGGTCCGGAAATTCATACCGAATCTCCAATACTTCTCCAGACACTTTGTAATCACATTGTGTTTTTTTGAATTGTAGGCCTCAAAATAGTAGAATGGAAAAGTACTGGACAAAAATTCAGTCACTGGTTTACAGTTAGTGGCCTACTACAGTAGTATTAATACGTAGTACTGGTACTTCGAAGTACATTAGTAGAAAATAGTTGTTTGAGCAAGTAGAATCCGTATAACCGTTACCGGTAATCACCAGAAATGCGCAAGTATTTGTTGCGCAAAAGCAATATATTCTGGATGAAAAATAATGTTAAAACTGCAACTATTGTGCTTTGCACCTTTTTTGGCAATTCCAGGGTTAAATTCATATATTGTTTAAAAATTTCTCAGGCTTAAATAATGTCTAAAGTAACTTGAATAACGGTTGGGTGCGTTGTTTAAAGTTACTTCATCAAATGCGATGATTGGTTGGTTGAAGGTGGTTTTACTGGTAAAACAAGTTGTTTGCCGTTTTCATTCTGGCAAACAACTTGCTTTACGTCAACATGTCAAGGTGCTTGACGCAATGAAACTGAAGCAGCTATGGCCATTTACATGACCTCCCATCCGTGATCACTACAGTACTAACATTATCTACTCCGAGTAATGCATATAACGTTAGGGATATAGTTAGGCTATAGTACATGTAGTCGTCGCTCTGTCCAATGATTCAAAGCTATGCCATACCTACAATTCTTGATCTGCTCTAACCTTAGCACTGTACGTGGAAGGCAAGGGCGCACTACGACTACACGATGTATAGTACTCCCATTTCACATCCTAATACGGTATGCATCGTGATGAACTGGTGGTTGTACGGCGTAAGTTGGCCTGGTATTAGTTAGCAGCTGAAATAAAGTAAGGGTTGTATTATTCTGCTGAAATGCAGAACTTGTGTTTAGCGTTGTTTTATCTTCAATCGGGCTTATATTATTTTAAACGTCTGGTTGTTTAACGCAGTTAAACACGGGCAAACTGCATGAAAAGCACAATAAATATTAGCAGCAATAAACAAATTATACTGGATTGCATATCAACGACGCAGGGCTCGCATCCCTGCCTCCACACTTCCCATTGGAACAATGGGACTCCATTGTGCCCGGATGGGGGGGGGATAGCTCAGGTGGTAGAGCATCGGTTTCTTAACTCAAAGGTCGTGGGTTCGATCCCCGGATTCCCCGGATTATTTCCGCAAGAATTTATCCGTCCCTCCCCTGGGGAATCCGGATAACAAGGGCCGCGTACAAAGACGAGGACCGAACTTCGAAGAAGATCGGTCGAAGCACGAGGTATGAAGCGTTGCGCGAAGTGAAAACCGAAGATTACACACCGCCCCTGGTCGAGCAGGCGAGTTACAATTGGCGAAGAGGTTCCATAACATGTGGTTCTAGTGTCGGCCCTCGTGGAGGAATGTCTTAAAAATGATAATCCAAGCTCAATTAATCAAACCATTGTGCCCGGATATGATAGTCAATATCCACCAACATTCCGCACTACAATGACATACTTCCTCTGTTCCATGTTACCACCGACATATGAAAAATGCATTTGTTCCATGTTACTACCGACATTATACTTGAATATGATTGGCTAAGCTGTAAAATACAATGATATCATTGGCTGAAGTAATGACAAAAACAAAATTTCACGGCCACAGCATGATGCATTTGGCAGGAGGAACACCCCCCACGAGCGCTTCGGGTTCACGGTGAAGAACACCGAGAAATGAAGCGCGGTTGGTGAGGTTCATGCATAAAGTACCTATGTGTCACCTAACGATACTTCTCCGAAGGCCGCAGCTTCAAGCGCTTGTTGTATCTGCCCTCCATTGCACGGCACACCACTGGTGGCCACAGCACCAAGGCCCGTAATAATTTAAACAAATCGATTATTTTTATATATTTTTCTGATGCCCAATGACGATTCAAAATTACAGCATGAAATTGATTGATTCGCGCTTTACGGCCAATAGACATTACCTTTATATTTTTATTCTCTTTCAGAAATGGTAGGATTCATTAAATTTGGTCCGAAAATAGCTTTTTGGGGTCGAAGGGATTCAATGTCGGCAGTAACGTGGAACAGAGGAAGTACCTGTTAGCCTCCTTGGTGCATCATCGAATGCGGCTACGCGACAACCTCCACCTAACGCACCGACAATTTATGTCAGCATTATGGTCGTCTGGACTACTCGATGGGCTATCGGTCAAAGTGTTGGGAGGGGTCATGCTAAATCCCACATCGAATATGCTATCCACTGGGATCCCTCCGCACGTGGCGCTCTCACAACGAATGCACGCGCTTAAAAACGAAATCAAAACAGTGGGGGCCAACCTGCAAGATAATATGGATCAGCTACCAGCTATTGCTAGTCGTGAGCTGTTGTCCCACGATGGTATATGTGGCAATGCTCAATTAACTTTGCACTCATTCAACGAGGGCCTCGCTGAGCTCCGCGAATCTATTGTTCGTGGTATACAACTCACGCAGGCTAGTGCTCCCCATCCGGACAACACCACTCCTCTAACGGACACGCCCCCGAAAGCCACCAACGCAGTTGTGCTCAACCCCGGTTTTCCGGCATTGTTTCGGTTTACGAAGTGTAAAATGTCCGATTTGTGGATGTTATGGTGGTATGGGATTCCCTCCGACAGCAGTCCCCCGTGGCGATTTGTCAAATCGCGAGACCTGGCAGTACAAAGTGACGTCCCCAACTACTCCAAGGCGAAGCGCATCATGAATTAAATTGTATCGCATTCGAAGAAGTCGGAATATATTATTTCGAAACTCGACAACGTGGCCAGCTTTGTCAATTTTGAATCGTGCTACATGGCACTGTCCGCCACTTGCGATGGGCCGATGACAAACGAGGATTGGGCGGCACGTCGTATGGATGAGAAGAGCTACCGTACATTCTACAGGCGCTTTACAGGATCATCTCAATTGAACATAAAATTGATTTGAAATATATTTACATGTTTGGTGCTTTGACATTACTCATGATGCATTGCGATGGCATTATGTTGGGCCTTGTATCTAAATGCAGTAAAATCCATGATGAAAGTTAGATAAAGTATACTACTCTGGTCCAAAATAGCTGTCGTGTTGCATATTTTCGAAGATACAGTTTTGTTTGACTTGTAATTTGTATACTAAGTTATGATTTGATTCTCTGGCGGGTGATTGAATATTTTGCCAATTTGAAGGCCATTTTTCAAGTTCGATAACTTCGCCAAGAATGTGAATTTTGCGTACAGCTTGAAGTATCCAATCAAAGAGGAGATCTTCAGCTTGAATTTAAGCGAGAACGAGTAAGTTTAGGACAAAATACTTCATTTTGAAGTCTAACATGACAACTACTTTGGACCAGAGTAGTATTAAATAAATTACCTTCTACTGTAGTGTGCGAAGCACAGAACGCAGTCAATCTCGGCCCACTCGTACACCCACAGCAGCTGCAATCGAAGTGTATCCAACTACGATGTTTATGAATGTAGTGTGATGCAGACGTACAGTATAGTATAATCGTACCTTAAATCTTCGTGATGATTCGTCGACGTTGCCTCCACCCTTGCTCGGCGCAGCCTTTTGCCCGAGACAATGTGGGTGCGTTGAGCTATAATCAAGTTTACAGGATGTAGAAGCATCGTACGTCAACGTACCTCACTCCATGATAGTCTCACGTTCCGCGTGGTCTTCCTTCCTTGGTACATTGCATACTTGGCGCCACCACGTCCCGCTCCTTCGACGCTGATTTCGCTTTGAGTTGCGAGTACTAAGAGTACTTGCAATACATAACAAACATCAATTTTAAGAGTGTTGCGCATATACTTGGGCAAAGGGTCAAATATCCATAAATATATAGGTTTTACGAAATATATCTGCCGGATACAATTGGAGATACGAAACACGAAATTTCGTAAACCCAGATAGTGGACATATTTTGATTTGATATTTGTATGCCAAAACTATATCCAGTATCCGGAGACAGTTTCAGTATCCTTATACAACAATGTCATCGGCCAAACGCAAGGCTCCAGCGGCACCGACAACCGAGGACACACGTTCAATCGATCCAACAACTGGGGATCAAGTTATGTTGCTTCGGTATGGCAGTAAGACGCGCTACCAGTACGAGAAGTCGCTTCTGCGTCTAAAGTCGTGGCTCCAGCGGTCGTGCCCCCGCTCGACCCAGCGATTTGCAAAGGGTTCTTGGCCTACGAGTGTGTTAAACGGGGCCCCGATGGTGCCGAACTTGACCCACAACAGTTTAAGTCCTACTCAGCTGTGAATGGATGCAAGAGCGCCATCAAGTTCATGTACAAGCAGGCAAATCTCCGCGTGTCGGAGGAATTGGATGCACTGTTAGCAGGTATCTATATCCTTATTTAATACTAGATTACATGTTAAATAATCTGTTATTTATTACTTAGACTTTGCATGCGGCTACAAGCGAAAAGTTGCTCAACTGAAGGACAGCGGGGCCATGGCAATTGGTGAAGGAAAAAGACCAATGACTTTTGACGGTCAATATATTAACTAGATGTTATGTCGAGTTGATTGGTTGCAATTTGTAGGATATTGCTTTTTGGCAACAAAAGCCCTTGGAGGAGAAGCCGAGTACAGCCTGACAACCGTGGCCCATCCGTTTTTACTGCTATGTTGGAACTTAATCGCACGGTCTGCAACTGTTGCTGGAATTAGATATGACCATTTGTCATGGGAAGGTGCTGTATTTAGCGGTTTACTGTACACGACTGTAAGGTTTAACGTTTAGCGTAGGTGATTCGCTGGTGGTTCAGTATGCATACACTAAAAATGATCAGGAGGGGAAAAGTTGCACCCCTCGCCACGTGTATGCAAATCCTGGAAACCCGTCGATTTGTCCAATTCTGAGGTGCGCAATTATTGTGGATATCGTTGTGGATTTAATTCGTGAATATATATTATTTCTTGTATTTAGTTTGGCCGTACTTATTTTTACGCGTGGGGCGCAGCGTGGAGAATCAACCAATCTTGTTTTGGGCGAAAATGCGGGCGAACGATTTTCAGTGTGGCTGTCCAAAACATGCGGTTTGTTCGCAGCGGAAATGTCGACATACGGCGTGTTGGTTAAGGACATCGGAACCCATTCGTTCCGAAAGGGCGTGGCCAGCGAGCTGTCGAATACCCCTGGAGGACCAGAAGCCGTGAACGTGTGGCTCCGAGCCGGGTGGACCCTAGGAACTGTCCAGGGTCGGTACATCTTTGCGGGTTCAGGGGGCGACCAATTCGTTGGACGTGCAGCAGCAGGTGTGACTTTAAATAATTATACTTTAAGTGAAACAATCATAATTATACTTTAAATGAAACAATCATAATTTACTTTAAATGAAACAATCATGATATACTTTGGACGTCATCTGACATTGCACTAGGGCACAACGTTAATGACCTTGATTTTTCCTGTCTACCGCCACATTTTAAGTCGATTGGGCTCAGCGATGGGCAATGGGAAGCTGCCCTGCCCTGGTACAAATCATTTCATCCCAGTCAGTTTCGACAAATTATGCCTTTTTTGGTGGCATCCCTATCGTATCATCACATTTGGTTGGAGCAGACGTTAAGCAAGAATCATCGACTATTTTTTGCCCCCATTTGGACCTCTGGTTTGCTGCCCAAGTTGACCGTCGACGTTGAAACGGGTCGAATGCAAAACAGAACAACAAACCTACGATCATCCGGCATCCCACCCCACGTCGCTCTTGGCCATCGCTTGGCTACGGTGGAGCACGAATTGAAATTTATCAACGAGCAAATATCTTATTTACCAACAAAAATAAGTGACCACGTTGTTGCACAACTACAGGCACCTCCAAGCTCACTTGGCCCATCAACAACGACCCCCACTGATATGGCATCCTTCCGGGACTCCATCTTGGATGAAATCCGTCAATTAAGGTGTGGCACCACGCCAACACCCCCACCAACAAGTGGCAACGACGTTGTTCCCGAACCATGGTGGGGCAACACGAACCAGCACCAACAACTGAGGCCCACCCTACCACCTGGGAAGATTTTCGACTTGTGGAACGCCTGGTGGCTTGGCTTACCTGGAGTTGGGATCCTTCCATTGCGCCACCTTCGACCCCGGGACCTTGCTCGCAGCAGCGATCGCGTGAACTACAGCAAGTTGAAACGAGTCATTGCTGCATTGATGAAGTACTCAGATGTACCTGAGAGCGTCGTCCATCGCATGCCCGTGGCAAGCAGGTCCATCCTCTTCGCGTCTTGTCTCCAGCTGCTTGGCCAAGCGCTTCTACTGGAAAGCAAGGACGGCGATGTTAGAAAGCGTAGACTAGATGAGATGACGTACCCAACCATGTATGATCTCATCAAGAAGTATAACCTTTGATTTACATGCGTACCTTTCATGGTTCTTGTGACCGCCGATGAATCAAAGTTAACTGTGTGTGGCAAATACAAATACCTTTATCACTGCAAGCGAAAGATAAGATTATAAGGGTTTCGTAGACATTTCGTAAACCCCTCATTATCTCTAAATATATAGGCACAATGGACTATGGGCCTCTTCCAAGTACCGTCGTTATTTTAACCCAAAATTCGGCGAAAAATAGAAATGCCGATGATTTATCGAATTTTGATACTGTGTTAGTCTCCTTCCACGTGATTAGCTAACGGGAATTTTGTTGTGTTTTGACCCGTCGAGTTTCACTCGATTTCATGCACACATATTGGACATTTTTCGGCCTATTTTGTCCAATCCATAATGTCTACTATTCCATATATACAAAGCTTCATATATAGAAATGATGTGCTTGGGTGCCAGCGAAATGGGCTGCAAGATGTGGCCGCCGCACACCCGGGTGATACACATGTTCCTATAGCTCGTATACCTAAGCGCAAGCACATAGGTATACGAGCTATAGGAACATGTAGATCGGATAGTGCCACAACTATAGCGTCTAGATAGACGTACTACGTCCCGGTCGAGCTGTCCTGCACCGAGCCGTGCCATGCCGCGTTCACGACATGGCACGGCACGAATCGTACTGCTGTAGTTTGCATAAGACAACGTTATTGATATTTTTACCAAACCATATCCGGCATTAAGATATTCATATGTTACGTCTCTAACGCCAAACAGAAAAGTTCTTATCACCGGATAGGACACATAAATAGGCACAAAGTGCTACATATAGATTCTAAATTTTATGCGTGCAGCTATTCCATTGTGCAACATGACTTCCAAATGCACCTCCCCCGTCCCGCTATACATGACGCTTCCTGGACTTGCCATGCAGACGTCAATTACAATCAAATAGTCCTCCAAAACAGCAATGGGTCCGACTGTGCGTAGTGCTGTGCCTCGTTCCTTGCGCCCACCTGCTGGACATACAATGCGTTCGTCCGCACGACCTACAGTGCCTTGTACTGTACATCATACAGTTTTTTCAACTCCACGACCCATTCGTCCCGTTGGTAAGTCATCAACTCCTGAAGGAATTGAAGACTACATGGTTACCATGGCAAAATTGGACGTTACTGTGGCGAAATCAAGGCTTAAGATCGCTCATGGATACGCTCTACACGAGAAAATCAAACAAGAAAGATCAATTCGTGTGTTGGGTGATGAGGACGTCCCCTCCAAGGCGGTGAGACGACACCGCAAACAATCCAGATTTGTGACTCCCACGATGAATGCGTTGAATACGAAGCACACGTCAAGGTACCATGGGGCGCTACAAATGAAGTTACTGATGAACATGCTGCAATGGCAAATGCCACTTGGTCTCCCAAGCCATGATCTTAGAAGTGCAGTAAATATCACAGCATTTCAATTTAGAAATGGACAAAAAATACAATTCTGTCGAATTTAAAATTTAGATTTTCTATAAAAAGGTAATTAAAAAGTCTAATAGTAAAAGACAACTTGCATCCCTGGGCACGATGACAACGTGGAGGTCGCCATGATGGTCGAAAGGTGCACCGCGGCGCAGTAACATATCATGATCCAAAACATATTGTTAGGAATAATCAATGATGCATGGATCATCTTTGCTGCCATTGACGAGAATATCACCCTCAAAGTCGGCTTCGGCATCCATTCGAATGGTCCTCGAGGCTCCATGGTGCGGAAAGTCATCCAATAATGAAGTAAAACAGTATCCAATCATATTTTATCTTACTTGGAATGTACCACCAGAAAAAAAGATAACTTATCTTCATCGGCAAATAAATAATATACTCCAAATGACAGGAAAATCCTCATTGGTGTCTGAAATTGGTTGGTCATAATTAAGATTAGCGTGATAGCCACCAATTACTTTTGACACCCCCATTGAACATTGGTTCACTCGCCATGTCGACGAGACCTCCAGCCAATGCGCTTCGTGGGAAGCGGCTCGCTGAGCACTACTTCACGAGAACCACACCTACCGGCAACGAATCGAAGTGTATGTGTAGGCACGAGTACCCCCAAAAGACCTCTGGTTACACAAACCTGTGTTATCATACGCCAAAAATGCCCCCCCGGCCAGAAATGCACGAAAATCACGCAAGCCGCCCCGAAAACGTGACCGACGCCGATCCAGGCGTGGCTGCCAATGAACAAAACGTCCGCTGCCATGTCGTGGCCATGGCCCCCAAGTTTATGGACCATCCGCGAAGAAATGGCGGCGCCCGGCTGCTCCAAACGCCAAAAATGCCCCCCGGCCCAAAACAGCTGTAAATGACGACCGCCGCCCCAAAAACGTGACTGGCGCTGAATCAGCCGTAGCCTCCAATGAACGAAAGATCCGCCGTCATGCTATGACAATGTTCCCGAAGTATGACGCCAAGCGGCGAAGAAGTCAAGGCGCCCGGTCGCGCCAACCACCCAAAACGACCCCGGAGCCGCAAAAACGATTATCGTCAAGCTCTTCCGCACACTCCGCATCCAAAAAGTCAATGGGTGCACTTTGACCGCCTCTCCAACACTCAAGAGGCCTTGCTCATCCCCCTCTGTGGTGTTTTTACACCGCATTGGTTCCAGATTGGTGACGAAACCTTTTCAGGCCATCTGATTGGCTCGGAAGTTTCGCCCAGCCACCACGTATCTGTGCCACCAAACACTCCAGATCTTTTCTCTCCCTCCCAGTAATTACTAGTAGTATAGTTTCTAGTAGTACTAGCAGTTACACTAGTAGGTTGTCATTTGAAACTCAACCCCATTAAGTATAATGCAAAATTTCTAACCCGAATAAGTCCAATTGAAGACATTGACGCTGATCACCCTAGTATCATCGCCAACATGCTAATCCCACATGCTGTGCGAAAGGTATTCGGGTGGCTGCAGTGGATTATCTCCTCGTTGCTTCCATTTTCGTTTTGTGAGAATGATATGGCTAGAAAGTACTCAATGTTCGATTCCATTTCGACGAAAACTTTCATGATATATATGTCACTTCTAACTGACACTGTGGAGAAAAATATCGCTGACATGCTTCCAAGCATGTTGGCTATAGTATTTGATGGTTGGTCTATTGAATCGAGTCATTTTGTGTTAGTATTTGCTACATTTCCTACGGATGATCTGATTGACTATAAAAAAGTTATATGTATGTCCTTTTCCCCAATCAATGACGAGGATTCGTTGAAGGCTGATGCTCATCACGAATACTTACATATCTGCTCCCACTGCTTGGAAACCAACGTCATGATGTTTTGAGGCCGATATTTCAACAAGTCAACGCCTCTATCCACGTTTCGCGACGAATCAAGACCCACATCAAAGCTAGCGGTATTGAAGTCATGGAGTGGCCCGCAAAGAGCCCTAATCACAACTCTATTGAGAACGTTTGGGGATAACTGGTCTATTTGGTGTACTAAGGTGGACGTCATTTTGAGTCAGTCAATGAATGAAGGCCCAAATTCGTGCTTCTTGGGACCTACTTACCCAAGAATGCTTGCGTCAACTGGTCGATGGTATGCCAACTAGAATGGCACAGGTCATCCTTCGGAATGGTGCAGGAATTGATGAACTACCAATTTAGTGCGTCTACAGTTTTTCACACCCTAAAAACTGAACATTCGTCGACTTTCAAATAATACAATGTTTGATTGAATGAATGTATACTGGGGATATATTTACTCTTCTTTCAAGGTGTCTTGAGCAAAACGCCAAATTGTTCACTAAAATACGAGATGAGAAATCGATGAAAAATAGTGTGCGTCTATAGTTTTGAGCAGCACGACAGCATCGAGTGATTTTGGTAAAATCATATGGACTATTCATGCTTGGAGTAAAACTTTGTCATTTTTCGATACAAAACGATACATAACACACAAGGGTTATTATATTTCAAGAAATATAGGCTTTTCACCTTGGAATTCTGCGTCTACCATACAAAACCCCATATAAGTGTGACTTCATTAGGAAAGGTACAGGACACAACTCTATTCGATGCTGTCGGGCACTGTTAGTATTTGAATTGGATGTATAGGGAAAAACAATTTCGAATGTTAATGCGCTAATCGATGATAACTGTTTAATTAATGGCAATTGCTAACCGATGTGGTGTACCTTTGGTTGGTGGTGCCAGTCACAGGTTTAACCTCTTCGTGGCCGACATTTTGATTCAATACGATCCTTGATCAACACGTCAATCAGTTAATAAAAAACTAAAAAACCTCGAAGTAGCTGCAAAGTTACGTCGCTTGACGCCATTGACCCACGATAACCGCAATGTTACGCGTTGGAGCTCCACCTACTCCATGCTGAAGCGCTACGTAGCCATCGGCACGTACACCAGGCTCCTAGGGGATCACAGCATTTTCCACCTCATCCCGACCGACAACGAAGACGATGAAATTGACGCTTTGTTGCTCGTGCTTGACGATCTTGAATCGGCGACGTTGGCGCTACAAGAAGCCACGTCCATACTGGATGTCCGTAACCTCTTCGACGAGTGTACGTTGCTGTACCCGTCGGCTTCAAACGCCTGGAGCCTTGTGCAGACGTCGTCGGACACGCGGATTTTGAAATTGGAATCACCAAGATATGGACCAATCAATTGCTACCATGAGTGATGGTCAAGTCACGAGTGTTGATCGTTTGAAGATGCAAGCGAGGACAAGCCATTGACGCTGGCGCAACGTGCGAAGTAGCGTCTCAAGGTCTGCGATGCTGAGTCTTACGTGGACTGTCAATTTATCCGTCCGACGTCGAATATGTGTGAGCGATTCATTTCCTGGGTCAAATATGCATTGAACGATCGTCGTCGAGCCACAACCCCCCAGAACTTTGAGCAGCGAATGTTCCTCAAAGTAAATTGTAGTCTTTGGGACGTGACCGATGTAGTTAAGTTAATGACTACATAGAATGGACATCGACTGCGGAGTTATTCGAATAAGTTATTCTTTCTGCATAGCGGAAAATATAAGTCATCCTTTGGCAGCCCGCCAAAAGATAACTTATCTTCTTCATCCTCCATAAAAGACATGTTATCTTTCAACCCCGAACCCCGCTTTTCTTAAAGCAGGGAGTAGAGATGATGGGCATCACAGCGAAGCGGCCGTGACGGTGGGTGGTAGCGGAAAGTGGAGTGAAGTGATGGCGGAGATGTTGTAGTGTGGTGGCGGCGGCGGTGGAGGGTAGCGGCTATGGGCAGTATGGTGGCCGCTTCGCTCCACCGCCTAAATGAACCAACTGTAAACACCAATCACAAATATATATAATATGCACCATCCTGCCTGCTTTCACGTCCAAATCTACCTCAGGGGCAAACCAGGAGCCCCCACGACTGTGACAACCTCATGCTCCTCACAAAGCGTCATGAGCCCCGGGGCAAAAAGGGAAGCTGTCAATGCGCTGCTACAATATATAAACAATACCACGCCGTCCAGAGGAGGTTGCCCCTCCACTGGCAGACATCAAATCATACAAATACAGCAATACATGCAAGATATACCAAACAGTAAACCAATTGTGACACGTCACAACTCCACGTCGAATAACGTGGTCCACACGGTCTGATACATGAACGAACCGGCCCGGACCTCCCCTTGTTCACTCCCCATGAATGCCCCACCGGTTCACTTCATGGATGACCGCTTCCTGCACGGCTGTGTGGTGTCACCTCACCGTGGACTGGAAAAATAACCATACACAGTACCATTCGGCACAGGGGGGGCAGGTGCTCATAACTCCAAAGTGTGCGGCCTACATGGATGATATTGATACATCGACAAACGCAAGAAATGAAAATATACACGTGCGGCTTACATGGTTATAACGTTGCATAACGTTATCGAAACAGCACACGTATATGAACGAACCGGCCCGGACCACCCCCGGTTCACTCCCCATTGAGTGCCCCATCGGTTCGCATCATCGTGTACAGCGGCATGTCGTTTGTTACTAGACGCACTAGTGAGCTGTGGGGGGTCACCTCACAGTCAACACTACTGGTGTTAAGATCACTACAACTGAATATGTGACACATGTGTATACCAATGATCACTACCTTGTCGTCACAAGCCGTGCATGGAATAGTGCTTCAAAATGATCACCAGATGAGCGGAATGTTGCTGTGTGGAGCCACCTCACAGTCAACATCCATAACCGTGACTACAATTGACGTGAGAATATGGATAGACATAATATATGATCATTACCATACGCCACGAAACGTAAACCCCGCCGAGGGCACGCAAGCATGTCCACAACAGACTTGGTTTGCACACAAGCGGCGCCCCTGAGGGCCTGCCAGGGTCAGCTTCATCAACCGGAGCCTCGCCAACCGGCTTTACCGTATAGGTAACAATAACTACCCGGGCTTAATAACTACTTTTGGGCCTTCGCGGGCACAATAACTACCCTCAGCGCCGCAGGCGGGCTAAATTTCACTACCATGGGCAATATGGCGGGTTTATTAACTACCCGGTCACACGTACAATCTCCTCATCAAATGCGTGGCTGGCTACCCCAGCAATATTCTCAAATACAGCCATAACTATTGCTGTACTGCTCAAACAACTTCGACATTTTGGGATATCCATCACCACCAGGCTCTTCGACTACTCTGACATTGACATTGGCCAGCAAAACCTTCAACCCCCTCAACAGGGTGGTTGCCCATTGTAAAATTCCTACATATCTCATGCAAAAGTGCAAGATCATGAGCACAACTTGAGGAACCTCACCGACACAGCGCCGGCTGGCTGTATTGGAATAATTCGAGGAAAATTGTGAGCCCTAGCTGCAACCTTTGAAATTTTCGTATCCAATTGAAATATAGAGGCAGATATGGAAGAATTGGGATGCGTCCTTTCGTTCATCGAACAAGTGTGAAAGCATTAGAATAAAATGCATTTCTCAATACTCATTGCTCCAGGAAGAACGAATGCCTCCACAACGTGCCGTCGATGAGCGAACCCCTCCCACCACGCAAAATCCGAAGCCAGGGTTGATGCGGACGGCCATGTGTCTCAGTGCATCCCAGGCAATTCGCCAGGCTTATGCAGCTGCAAAGCCGAAACCAGGTATACTGTCACAGTCCATAAATCTCACGAATTTCTAACGAATTGTTTTACGCTGAATAGATGCAGCACCGTGACGCGCCGTGCCTGTCTTGGGTCGCTTGTGCATGTCGTTTTGCGGCCATGTGTCTCAGTGCATCCCAGGCAATTCGCCAGGCTTATGCAGCTGCAAAGCCGAAACCAGGTATACTGTCACAGTCCATAAATCTCACGAATTTCTAACGAATTTTTTTACGCTGAATAGTACCTTTGAAGCTGCTTTTGTCGACCGATCTACCGAGCGAGCACAGAAAGCATAAAAAGCGAGTTAAAAGGATGCTGCGCCAGATCGCATCCAGCGACGCTGTTGTTACCACGATTGCGAAGCATCACAAATGGCAAAAACGATCGTACAAGGTACTTCACACTGATCTATGTTTAATGCTAAAATTTAATTGACAATGTTGCATATGTGACGGCACCACCCCACGAGCTCGTTGCGACGGCACGACGACGACCCACGACCTGACATACATCAAGGCCACAGCGACAGACAACCGTGGGGAGGCCCCGGCTAGAGTCGCTGAAGGGCTAAAATTTTATATATATTATTGTTTCTTTCAATTTGTCGTGTTGAGCTACGTGTCTAACCAACACTGTGCAAATAAAAAAGCGACTGCTAGTTAACCAGGGCGCTTAACTAGTATGAAGGAAACTAGCCCCCCACATTTTTGTGGAGAAATCCTGCGGTGTGGTGCCAAAGGTAATTTACTTGCCCCGGGGGTACAAGTCATTTACAAGTCTCGTGAGTAAAAAGGTACGAGACTGGACAATATACAATTTTTAACCACTCATTGAGGACATTTTCGGCAACCATCGCGGCATCAAATTTATCCATCGCCGAACGACATGATTGGAACAACGTCTTCTTCAAGGAGGTAACTATAACGATTGAATTTTTGTAGATTTTATTGAAATTCACTTAAAACAGAACAACTGGACTTCCGAAGTTAAAATTCACTAAATTTAACATTTGACTCAATAGACCGACAAGGAAGCACCAGTGTGCACGCCTCCCCCAAGTTGCCCATTTCGCGTCGCCGTGTACCTGCGTCGCTCACTAGCCACCTAGCCTTGCCAGTCTTGTGCCGCTGTTGCCGTGGGGCAGCATTCCTTGTTCGTTCTCGCTGCCGTGCCTATCTTCTTCCGCTGTCGCAATCGTTGCAGTGGGGTAGCATCCCTTGGCCGTTCTGCTGCCGTGCCTAGCCTGTCTTGTTGCCGTGACGCAACATCCCTTGGCCGCCCTTGCTACAATATCTGCCCTGCCTTGCGTCGCTGATGCCGTGGAGCCTTTGTCGCTTGCCTTGCATGCCGTGCCTAACTTGACTTGTCCTGGTGTTGAATTCCTCGTTCTCGCTGCAGTGCGTAACTTTCACCGCCGTTCCGTCCGTCGTTGCCATGGGGTAGCATCCCTTGATCGTCGTGGTGCCGTGCCTAGCCTGTCTTTTTATTCCGTGACGCAGCAACCCTGTTCGTCCTTGGTACCGTACCTGCATCCTTTGGACGTCCTCACTACCGTATCTGGCCAGTCTTGCATCGCTGCTGCCCTCAATCATTCGCCACTGGCCTTGCATGTCGTGCCTTGCCTGTCGTGCGTGGATGTTGACGTGATGCAGCACCGTGACGCGCCGTGCCTGTCTTGGGTCGCTTGTGCATGTCGTTTTGCTGTAAGTTAATTGGCCCCTACCATAGTGACCGTTAGGTGCGAGTATATACGAGGGTCGAATGAACTCTAAATGTACACTAGGATTTGCATCTGGACTGACAATTGTGAATGGCCTGGAAGTATTATTCCGGTCTTAAGCTCAAGAGGTCACTGGTTCGATTCCGATAAGTGAGAAATAGTTTTTACACCAATGCAATGCATAATATAAAAATAGGTATGGTCTGGCATTCAGATTTTGAAATTTCAAACTCTACTCAAGCCAGCTCACTACAGCCTTCCTGGACCAGAGACGCAAGATGCCATTCAACACGCATGCCACTACCCTCACGAACGTTGCCAACGGTAGCGTTGTTCGTTTTGGAGCCGAAGACTACGAAGTTGTCGACGTTCCTGGTGATGGCAACTGCCTCTTTCACAGCCTTCTCGTCCCTGGTGTTCTCCCGACTCCATGTGGACTTGAGACGT